TCTTCCCTGTGCATGGCTCTGAAGACATGAGCTATAAGCGTTCTGTGTTGGCTGTCATGTCTGCCTGCTGCAATGTATCCCTACCATGATGATGAACTCCTATCCCTCTGGGACTATAAGCCAAATAAATTCTTCATTCTTTAAGTTGCATTGGTTATAGTGTTTTTATCTAAGCAAATGAAAAGGAACTTGTACAGAGTCTTTGGTGAAGCAGAGGATAAACACCATAGGGGATGGTAGCAAAATGGCATGAAGAGGAAAGGGGGAATAGTGGGGATGGAGGTTTAAATGGAGGTTTAACTGAGGAGAGGGATGGCAGGGGAGGGAGTGGGTGGTGAGATATGGGATAACTAATGTGAAAAAACTAAAGGTGTCGTTAAAAGTTGCATGGAAGCCATTTTGTAAGATAGATATCCAATTAAACTCATAAAATAAAGCTGAGCTTATTTCCCACCACCCCTTTTATATAAGTGTGAGTTTAGTTGGAGTTACCCTACACGGAGATAATGCTCCTTACAGAAGCCACAAGATGACAAAGAGAAAATCAAGTGTGTGATCCTTCCCATGGAGTTGTTGGTAGGAAGTATTCCAGAGAGCACCAAAATAGAACAGGATATTGTCATTGCTCTTCAGACCTTGATACTAAGACTCCTTTTTTAAGACAGCACATGCTTTGGCTGCGGATGTGGAGATCAGGGAAGTATTGATGAGGCAGCTCTTCCCCACTAACCAGATTTCATAGTAGTGCAGGTGCTACGCAGGTTGCTGTTGGAGTAAAATGTCAGCAATGGCTCTTCCTAGTTGTGAACCCTGTTAGCTACAATAATCATCAGCATGGTATAATATCCCAAGCGTGTAATAGTGGCATGAATGTTATGTGGGTAAGCAATTGTTTTCTGATTGGGCTTAAGGCTTGCTCCTCATGCCTGGTGCTGTAAATTTGCCAAGAACCCATTGTTGGGAAACTCACAAGCCCCTGGGAGGAACCTGCTACTAGTATTCTGCCAAGTGGACATAGTAGCAAACTGACCTCTAAATCCATCTCTTTACCCATAGGTCAGTATAGCTATCAAACCTTATCATACAAGTTTCTTTGTGCAGTATATGGTGGTTAATGTAGAAACTTGCAGATTTTAAAAGTATAGCAAGTAGGTGCCTGTGGTATACTTATCCACAAATATGGAATCTATATCACACTTTCCCAAGGCTGAGGAACCATTACAAAAGTGGGCACAGAAAGATTGTTAAGAATTGGAGGTCAAAGAAGACCAAAGCAAAGCAGTGTCTTCCTGACATGACACACGTCTTTAAAGGTTTTATCGATGTTATAAAAACACTATGACCTAAAGCAACTTGGGGAGAAAAAGGTTTATTTGACTCACATATCCTGTGTCATAGCCAACTGAGGGAAGCCAAGGCAGGAACTCAAACAGGCCAGGAACACGGAGACGAGAACTGTCACAGAGGCTGTGGAGGAGTGCTGCTTTCTGGACTGTTCCTTGTGGTTTGGGCAGCCTGCTTATGTCTACAGCACCCAGTACCACCAGTTTAGGGATAGTGCCACACACGGTGGAGTGGAGCAAGGGCATTGTTCTCAACTGAGGGAACTTTTTCTGAAAAGACTCTAGCTATTGTCACACTTTCATAAAACTAGTCAGCGCAACTGAACCGCGCTGGTGAATTCGTTGGTGCTGTGAAGGCCTTCACAAGACCAAGCCAGCCAATAGCCCACCATGGAAGAGAGACAGAATCATGTTCCTTCATCCCTAGCTGAGGCACTGTTTACAGTTGATGGTTTCTGGGGGAAGGAGAGTCCGTTTCACTTAAATCTGTGGCCCCAGGTAGGTCAAACAAGTTCTCTGGCACGGTCCTATACCCAGAAGAATGTCCATAGCATAAATTAGAATTTAGAGGCTATTAAAATTTAAAAAAGAGGATGCCAAGTTGGGAACGTGTGCAAATGGGAGTGGATCTGGAAAGGTTGGGGGGGGAGGTGACATGGTTGAACATGATCAACATATATGGTATGCATTCTCAAAAAATTAAATATTATTCATTTTAGAAATAAAAATGGCTCAAGCATTATTTGGATTTATGAAAAGTGGATGACTGTGGAGAATGCCTCATTGGGGATATTACTGGAATGAGGACATTGTAATGTTCTGTTTGCTTTCAGAGTCTATATCCAATGTAAAATATAAGGAATCTTAATAGTGTATGTTAGGCAAATGAAGTTATCTCACAGTTTGGCAACTGTCTTATCTCCTTTGTGCTTTGTGTTACTCTGTTAGCTTCTTGAGTATTTTAAAAAGTGTATGTAATGTCCATTCTGACATTTAGGAACCAAGTAAAAGCCAATACAGAAACAATAATGTGGATTGCCCACTTTGGATCTTTTTTTTGTTTTTTGTTTTACGAGACAGGGTTTGTCTGTATTGTTTTGGAGGCTGCCCACTTTGGGTCTTAAGTGTCCACACTGCTCTAGAGCCCACATGTTATAAAGACTTGATGGCATCAGCTGGCAGATTTGCCTTTCAAAGGTGAACAGTAATGGGAAGTTTCCAGGTCTTTGGCCTCATGCCCTTGAAGGACACAGTAGGACCAGTCTCTTCCTCTCCTTCATTCCTACCATCAGTAAGCATTTTTCGTTTGCCACACTTTTCTTATGATGTACTTCCATGCGGAAGACCAAACGCAACAAAGTCAACAGACCATAGGCTCAAACCTCCAAGGTATAAGTCCAAATAAAGCTCTCTTCTTTTTAAGTGGACGAATGCAGGTACTGATTATAATGACCGAAAATTGACTCGGAATGGGCTAGCTCCAAAGTTATATCCATGAACTGTCACCCTTTCAATCATTTATTTATCTTTTGCCATTTGAACCCCAGCATTTTGCTAGGCTCTCGGATTACAAGGTGATTTGGATTTTGATCTCATAGACTTTATGGATTAATAGCAGAGCGAAGAGAGATACTCAGCAGTGCATAAGTATTTGTAAAAAGTAAATCTGCAACCATAAGGCAAGATGTGTAGTATGAAGCCAAAATAGGGTACAATGAGAGTTTACTACAATGGTTCTATTCTAAGTTGGAGAAGTAATGGACACTGAAGTTTGCATGATGGCCAGACTTGAGCGTATGGATAGTACAATTTTATTTTGGGTAGGTCAGGTATGAGACAAACAAGGATGTTCAATAAATGCTTGAATATATGAGACACTTGAGCTGAACATATAAATTTACAATTTCTTGGCCATTTAATGACAAGGTAGAAGTGAGAATGTTTTTAGAGGGCCACCTAAGACAAAAAGAAGATCTGTAACTGAATCTGGAGGAATTCTAGCGTTTAAGGGTGGCAAAGACAGAGGGGAAACTTAATGAGAGGCAGTTTGACCTGAAGACAAGGTCATTTAATGTTTTAAAATTTCTAAAGCTATTTCTGTTGGCTTCTTCTTAAAAGGAACCATCAAAGCTTACAAATTTTTGCTTCTAAAAGGAAGAAACAAAACAAAAAATGTTTTGATTGAATGAAATCAAAAGTGGGCTATAGTAAGGGCGAGAGGGGCAGAGGCAAGGACTCCAAGAAGAGCGATCAGCATCTATGAACTCTGAACGCATGAGAGAACAGGACAGGAGCTACAAAATAGAAAATAGATCCCATGGATTTAGCTAGAAGAAGGCCTGTGCCCTAATTAAGACACCTGTCCGTGCAGTGATGGCCCAGAAGTTAGGGTCTCTGAGGAGGAACAAGTCTGGTGGAGGCAGAACTCTGGCCCCTCCTGCTACTCTTTCCTTTGTCTTTGTTTCTAAGATGGGAGACCTGAAGTACAGATAAAAGTAGGAGGAGAAAGTTAAGATGGGATGAACTTTCCCTCACCTGAACTACAGTTTCATTTTCAAGATCCCACAGTTGATTCATTCTGGGGACACACAGTTAGAATTTTTATTTTCCCGCTGGACATATGTGTGCTGATCCGAGTTTTGTGGAACCAAGGGGATTGAGGGTTTGAGCTAGGTGTTCAACCAACTCCCATGAGCAGGCAAAAATATCCATCGAGAGACACCAGTTTCATTCTGGAGCTTTGTGTATTTTATGTGCTGCCTTCCTCCTTAAATATTTAGTAAATGTTGAAGAAATGCAAATTGATTTTTAGTAGACAAAACAAAATTACAAATCTGCCAAAGGAAAAAATAGTATACTTTTATTCAGCGTTAAACGCTATTCTTGCAAATATTTTAAATTCTGAGAGTTTTACATTGTACACTCTAATATTAGATGAGAGAGGGGGGGAGAGAGAGAGAGAGAGAGAGAGAGAGAGAGAGAGAGAGAGAGAGAGAGAGAGAGAGAGAGAGAGAGAGAGAGAGAGAGAGAGAGAGAGACTCACGGGGGTGGGAGGGTGAGGGTGGGGGTGAGGATGGATTGTGGGACTCCAGGACAGAGGTCAACCGAAAAAGGCACAAAACAGAAATGAGCACCCACTCTCAGACAACTCAGAGCATTTCCCCCTGTTTACTGGTCCCCACCCCCTTTTAAATGGCTCACCAGGCTAAGAACGCATCTTGGTGTGCTAAGGAACTTCTCAAGAAAGGGCTTCCCTTGGCCACTAAAGAAGTAGGAAAACTGCAACAGTGCAACAGTCCAAGAGGCCGGGAGTATAAAACACAAAAACTGCTTTCTTAGCCCATTTCAAGTTTTTGCTAAAATATGAACAAGGTTCTAGTGCAAGCGTTTCCCGCGTAATAGTTGGAAAATACTTACACTAAGAAGCAAACAAACAACCCATTTCCTTTGTAGGTCCCATGTAGGAGCCTGCCCCACACCCTGCCGCCTCGGTCGCACAGTCCGTCACCCACGCGGGCCGGGAGGCCGGGGCGCCGGTCGTTCCATCCCGGCGGCGGCTGGGCCGCGCCCCTGATTGGCCAGCGCGCCGGGCCGGCGTCACGGCTTCCCGCAGCCCCGCGGCCTCCGGGAGCCTGGTCGGCGCGCAGCGAGGCTGGCCGGCCGCGGGCTCCGGTTCCCCGGCCACGCGTGAACGTGCTCGCCCAGCCCGAGCTGCCGGGGCCGTGACTGTAGCTGAGAGGGGCGCAAGCGCTCTGCCCACCCCGGGAGACCCGCCGGGCCGCAGACCCGGGTAAGTGGCCCCGCCCGGGCGAGCACTGGCCCCCGGGGGCTCTGGAAGTTTCCCCGGCTGCGCGCTCCCCGCCGGGCTCTCCCCGCGGCCTGCGCCCGGGCTTGAGCGCCTGTTGCTGTCCCTGGGCCTGGGCGGTGCGGGGAGTGCGGGAGGATCGCGGCCTGGAAGCGGGGACCGGGGCTGCGGGAGCCGCTTTGTGTTGGAGCAGTGCTGAGCGGGGCACGGTGGTGCGCTTGGGGCTGGCATTCTCGAGCGGCGCGGGGGCTGGGCAGTTCCTTCCCCGGGTCGCCGGCGGCGGTGAGGAGGAGGGGGCGGCGGTGGCCGCGGCGGATGCGAGGGGTTTGTCTCTGCGCGGGGAGGATGCCCCGGGCATGCAGGCCTGCGGGAGGAGGCTGGGGTTTCCTTCTAGCATCAGATAAGAGGGCGGTGACTTCACCAGCCAGAGGGAAAACCCCTCTCCTTGGTGTTATTTCAGTGTCCTGAGGGGATGTGTGTGAGAACTCAGCCCAGGCCACTTCATCCTGTGGTGTAGGACAGCATCATCTTTGAGTGTCCATAGATCCTCCTTTAGGATGCCTTTTCTAAACATCAGTAATCTGGGAACATGGAGGGGATTGGTACGGGGACTCTGAGAGGTTTTTCGGTGTATAATTTGTTCAGAGAGTATGAAGATGATGCAATGCTCAAATTATCCAGGTTAGTATATTATAGTTTTAGAGGCTGATGGAGTCCAGGTAAACAATTGCATTTAAAAACCCTAATAAAATTGAACGTCTTTGATTTAAACTTCTAATACAATGTTTTGGATAAATGCACTTGGGCTTTGTCCCTTGATAAAGTAAAGCTTATTTGGGATGCCCTGTAACTTGTCTTAAAGCCTCTTCCTCATTTGTTAAAAGTAAGCAAAAATTGATGGGATGTTTTCTCAACACAGATAATTTTCTCAACACAGATAATAGCTCATATACGCACTATCTTTCATAATGTTCCTTTCTTCCATGGATTCTACTGTTACTTCTTCTAGCTTCTTTTGGTTTTCTTTCTTCTTTTACCATGTTCTTCTTTTGCCACAGAAACCCTGGTGGAGGCTTGGAGAGGGACCTAAGTTTGTTTTTAGAGTGCTCCAAATTCCAGTCACATAGATAATCTACTGAATCCTTAGATGTGTCTTTGCGTTTTAATGTTTTTTTTGTGGGGCCACACCATGGGGGAGTAAAGGCTGTCTATACCACATACTTTTCTGCAGGTTGGAGGTTTCTAGAGAGACCATTTTAAAAATGCAAATTTTCATTGATCAGTGCTGGTTGGCACTTTCAGCATTTAACTAACGAGGTAGGCAAACTGGTTTGCAAATGAAAGCTTGGACACGTGGTTTGGAGGTAACATTAGGGGACTTAGAAGCTGCTGAGCAACAGTGAGTTGCTGGGAAGGTAACTGTCCTGAGTTAGAGACAGATTTTTCTGCAGATTACATCCCTGTCTGTCATCAAAGATTTGACTGAGTTGAGTTGCAGATTGGCTTCACGTTCTACATTCATAATATGGCCAACATATTCTGAATTTCATAAAATATTTTGAGGCAAAGTTGACATACTGGACTGGATATGCCTCCAAATATGGTGTTTACCCCATCTGCCAGAGAAAGATCTACAGTCAAGAATGAAGAAACAGATGAGTTCTCAGTGAATTCAGCCTTGCTAGATGCATGGGGAAAGATTATATATATACCCCACTTTTATGGGTTTGTAAAAATAGACATTTGGCCTTAGGTAGAATTTCATTGGGCGTAGTCACATTGTTTCAAGCATCAGTTTGCTGATAAGAAAGGTATTTTCTCTTATAAATTTAAGCATTGTGTACTGAAGAGTATTTACACAAAAGTGAGAAATCCTATTCGGTATGAGAAAACTATTATAATTACATGATTTTAGTGGGACTCCGTGAGAGGTAAGACACCCAGGAGAAATGGGTGCTAATTAAGCAGTTGCCTTCAATATCTAAGGAAGTTAGTCGATGGAGTTAGATAGCGATAGGTAGCTCACGGGACTTGTTGAATTGGAATAGGGTTGTAGGGTGTACTGGAAGGGGGGGATGCAAAATAAATACAAGACAGTGCTCTGGAAGCTTGATGTCTTTACTGATCACAGGGGAGATTGGAAAGCTCTTATGGATGGTCTTGAGAGTCATAAAAAAGCAGCCAATAGGCCTGGCATCTCTGGACATGCTGAAGTGATGCAGTTTTGTTGTTGATGCTGCTGCTAGTGTAAATTGGTGGTTTTTCATTAATAAATCGGCATAGACCTGTAGGAGAAGTATCTGGGAAGAAGGTGGCAGCAAAGACTAAAGAGGTTCTCAGTTTTTATCTTTCTAGTGCAGAATTGAAGCTTTGTGTCAAGGGGAAACATTCGAATGAGGAAGCGAAAGGACTAGGAAGCTTGCAGGTATAGGCTAAGTTTTGTTTTTCCCAGTGTTTTTCGTTTCCATCTGGGACCTCAGGGAAGTTATCCAAATGTCCTTATATTTACCTGCAGTCCTTTCAAGACAGTCTAGGCTCTCCTGTCATGTGCTTCAAAACTCGTCTGGCTTCTACCCATTGCCTGCTTTCAAAGCTACATAGTTTTGGGTGTGTGTGAAAAGGCATCTCCTTCCCAGTTGACTGTAGTTGACTCAAGAGCTGGAGAACTGTAATGGACGTCGCTGGGACAACAGGAAGTGCTATGCTTTGTTCTCAAGGGCAGCAGTCAACAAGTGTGGCATTTGCTTGGCTGGTTCCCGTCTCCTTTCCGCATGTTTTCAGGGTCTTCCTTCTTTGTATGTGTTGCCCTAATTTCTTCTTAAAAGGATGCCCAGTCTCATTAGATTAAAGCCACCAGTTACCCCACTTAACCTGACTTACTTCTTTAAAGAAGCTCTCCAAATAGTGTCATCTTATCAGGTACAAATGAATTGGATTTCTCATGAGTTTTTGGGAAAGAGACAGTGTATTCCTTAACCCATAAGAACATTAGTTCTTGGAGAAACCCAGCCTGTAAGCTGATTAGAACCAGAAGGATAGGCTGGCCCAGGGTGAAGGAGAGAGGTCACATGGAGACTGCTGGGTAGTCTGAGCATCACTGTGGTAATATAATGCTTGGTAAGAAAGGGAGACTGCTATTTGAGGAAAGGCTATTTTATCTCTGGCCCAAGGCCTATGGTTTTCTTAAGTGCTTACTGGGTACTGTTTGTCTAGGGCTCTTTCTTTTTTTGATAGACCTTTAGTTCTTCTTAGTGTTTTACAAAAGCATAATTTTCTTAAATTATATTTTCTAAGCCTTAAATATAGTAAGACATTCATTAAAGTAAAATGTTAAAGTAAGCATTATGATTTTTGTGTAGGATTAAAACAACACAATTTGTTTAATTAATTAACTTTGTGTTTCTGGAGACAGGGTCTAATGTAGTCTCAGCTGGCCTCTGATTCACTGTGTAGCTGAAGTTGGCCTTAAGCTCCTGATTCCTTTGCCTTCACCTCTGTGGTGTTGAGATTATGGAGGGGCACACTACCACACCTAGCACAATTGCATTGATTTAGAAACTATGTCCCATGTGTGTTTTGCAGCCTAATCTTTGTCATAGTTTTTTCCCCTTTTGAAAGTTTCCCCCTTTCAGAAAAAAATAGAAGATTAAAAAGGCAGTGTAATCATATGTAATCAAATAACAAAAGCTTTCATTTGGATGTTGAAATTACATTTGATGATTTAGAGACATAGAAAAGCCATTCTTCCAGTTCTGACCATCTGGGTGAAGAAAAACCAACTAAACAAAAGAGAAAATCGAGACTATCATTTGTACATTTTCTTTCCTTTCTATCTTTTTGCCTGTGGTAGTTAGACTTGTTGGGTTTAGGGAATTCTTATCTTTACATTTCTTACTCTTATAAAACCATTTTACCTCCAGGTTTAAGATATTCTAAATAAATGCTTGAAGGAAAAACAAGAAAGCAAACATTTGTAAGAAAGACAAAAACACACACAATGAAGTCAACACACACACACACACACCTCTTTTTAAGTAAAAAGCCAGTTAGGTTGTTATTGTTGGCAGTTTTGAATATATAGGGAATAGATCATCTCCTCTATTGATTACCTTTAAGGCTATATTGACTATAAATGTTTCTTTTCATAACTCCTTTTTGAGAGTGACAGACATGAATTGAAGGTGTGTGTGTGTGTGTGTGTGTGTGTGTGTGTGTGTGTGTGTGTGTGTGTGTGTAGCTTAGCTTAGTAGAGTGTTACCTGGCCCTCCTCTGTTGTGTTCACAGTTTTCTTGGGAGTATTGAGTAGAGTTATCTTGTGCCAGTTTAGAGAAGTATAAATATAATGGGGGCACAGAGAGGGGCCTCTGCCTGCCCTTTAAGCATTTGAATCATGTAAAAGACTAGAGGAGAGCCATGCATTCAATTCAGGATAGAGAGTATGGACAGAGGGGGCTTCCTGACGATGATTGGCCGGCTAGCTTAGGCTAGTCCATGAAGTCTTTAAGTTTGGTGAGAGGCGGTGCTCTAATCTAGTGAGTGTTAGAGGAAGACACCTGAGGTGCCTGCAGCTCACCCACAGAGACATAAACATATATTTTACATGTGTAGATACATATACAGCATTTCAATGCTTCTTATTACATTGTTTGCTGAATACAGATTGGATCAGGCTAAGTCAGAAAGCAGTTTTCATTCTGTCGTATAGCTGATAGGAGACAACAGGATAGACAGACCTTTGGGGCTGGGTTATTGCTCCCTAGCAACCCCATTCAAGTTGGTGAATATCTCTTTAGCTAAAGAGTTTCAGACTTCAAGTTTTCTTTTTTTTTAAAGATTTTATTTATTTATTACATATACACCAGATTGAATTGTAGATGGTTGTCAGCCACCATGTGGTTGCTGGGAATTGAACTCAAGACCTCTGGAAGAGCAGTCAGTGCTCTTAACCTCTGAGCCATCTCTCCAGCCCCGACTTCAAGTTTTCT